ATCTATTCAACCCTATAATGTTTATATTTTTAAAAATTTAGAATAATATTTTTGTATTTACTTCTTCCAGATCGTTGAATGTTACAACTGCTACCAGTACTAGGATCTGAATGAGGACCATGTTGGGGTCTTTTGCTGGAACCACTTATACTTGATGATGGTGGCTGATATATGGTAGTGGGCAGGGCTGTCTGGTTCCAGTGGTGGCGGTTCTTGGGCTGGTTTTCTGTGTAGTAGTGAGGGCTATTCCCTTGCCACTATCACTTATTACCTGCCTTACAGCATCATTGACCGTGTTTCTTAGGCTGTTGGCAGATTTTTCAGAATATACAATATAATATTGATAATAATGTAAAACTTTTATTACTTCAAGTCAATTATACCATTTCTCTTCTTGCCATGCTTTCTACCTGTGCTTGTAGGTTAACTCTCTCGCCTTTACTAATTTTAATGTTTTTATAATGCGTTTTGCTAGTGATTTAGCCATGATAAGAACAGTGCCAGTGCGGGAGCCATTTTGTTATTTTCAAATTTCATTCAATCTGGCCGCCATATTGTGCCCAGGGCACCTCCTTTTATACTGTGATCGACGGAAGCGATTTCATGACGTTGCGTGAATGGTTTTATAGTGCACCTTCTTGTTTAAGACTTAAACTTAATAGTCATATAAGATGGGAGAGATATAAACATACTCCTAGAGCCATTCCTTCTAATGCTGTGGTAGGAGGAAGGACAGAAAACGGTCAGTGTGGGGAAGACTATTTGACTTATTTTTATCAATTCTATTCTTGAATCTTGGGCCATGGTTTAATCATAGTGAGTGAATTTTATTATGTAGAACAAAAATAAAAGGACAGAATGATCCATAAAATGATATGGTCAAAACTTTTGGAGCCATGAATTATTGGGATTGACTGACTCATTTTTATAGTTATTTTTGTGTATAATCTATACTGTAGGTGTCAATTTATACATTGGTCGGGATTTATATAAAAGTGAAGTGTGTTCCATTCCAGCAACTATAACTGATTCCCAATACGCAGTGTTCACTAGTGATTCAGCGGCTGTTCAGATTCTTGTATGTGACGATCCCTCTGTTTTATTTTGGGCTGATAAGGATGACGACAGAATACAAAAGTTTGGTATCAGCTCAATGGGTGAGATCCATTATGAGCCTTCTGATCGTAGACAAGACTACCTCATAGGCCGAACTGTACCAAACCAGGACACATATTTCAACTGGTCAAGGAATAAAGTTAAACTGCCACGTGACGTATGCCTACTGGGCAATGTCGAATTCTCGTCATCACAGCTTGGTGTTCCAAACAAAATTGAAACCTACTACAGTAGTATGACTAATAGTTATCAAGTTTTGTGTGCGTACAGAGTACCTACTCCAATTTATAGCTTTACAAGGACATGGAAATGGGTACCAGCGTCAAATGGTCTGTTACCACCAGGTGCTATACCAGGAGGAAGAGATGAATCCAGTGAAGTCATTTACATTGCTAGAGCATTTCATGAGAACGAAGTACCAGCTGGGTATGTCTCACCATCACAGAAATGCTGTATTTATCCATGGGGTTGTACAACTCACCAAACATTAAATTACGAAGTTCTTGTTGTAGAAGATCAGAATAGCTTAAAATGGGAGAGAGCATCTGATGGTGACTTGCCAGTTGGAGCTGTTACTAGTAATGAAGAAGGTGAACAGGAAACTGGTGTGGGCCGTACATTAACTGATACTGATCTCAGTGTGGGTATTACCTTTGATGGAATTTCAATCAACATACCACAGAGAGCTTGTAGAGACATGCAATTGTTAGGAAAGATACCAATCTATCATCGCTGCTTGTACATTCCGTATAAGAATAAAGAGTTCATTTATCGTGAGTATGAGGCATTGAGGTCATTATTCTCTGCCAATTCATTGCAGCAATTGTGCAGCTATGTTATACTGGAATCAGTTCATGCTGTACCTGATTGTATTAATAGTCTTCCACTTCCTAAGAAAATCAAAGATGACCTACTTGCTTTAATATAACAATAATTTATTGTCAATTAATTATCAATTTTTCTATTTCATGCACGTTAGATTCAAACTGCATGCAAGACAAGAGATCTTCCTTCTGTTTGCATGCAATGAAGTGATAAGACTAAGGATGATTAAGGACTGATGAGGGGGCCGGCCGGGCCCTGCCCGTGTCCTGGCCCGGAGTAGTTGCTCGTTGCCCTTGGCCTGCACTCATTCTGATCATGGCTATGATGGCATCACCGGCAGTCCTTCAGCCCTTAGAAACTAAACTTAATAGTCATATAAGATGGGAGAAGTATAAATATACTCCCAGAGCCATTCCTTCTAATGCTGTAGTCGGAGGAAGGACTGAAAAAGGTAAATGCGGGGGAGTCTATGGGTAATCTGGTATAGCATAGTGAGTGCATGGATTATAGGTAGAATAAAAACTAATAGGACTGAATAATCCATGAATGATTTAATCAAAATTTTTTGAAGTCGTGAATTGACTCATTTTATTGCTATTTTTGTGTACATTACACCGGTACATTATTATAGGTGTTGATATATACATTGGTCGGGATTTATGGAAAGGGGAAGTGTGTTCCATTCCAGCAACTGAAACCTATTCCCGGTACGCATTGTTCACTGGTGATTCAGCGGCTGTTGAGATTCTTGTATGTGACGATCACTCTATTTTATTTTGGGCTGATAAAGGTGACGACAGAATACGAAAGTTTGGAATCAGCACAATGGGGGTGGTTCATGATGAGCCTTTTGTCTGTAGACAAGGCTACCTCATAGGTCGAACTGTACCAAATAAAAAAACACTTTTCAACTGGCCGAAGCGTAAATTACCACGTGACGTATGCCTACTAGGCCATGTTGAATTCTCATCACAGGCTTCACAGCTCAGTGTTCAAAACAGACTTGACAAGTACTACAGTAGTACGACAGATAATTATCAAGTTTTGTGTGCGTACAGAGTACCTACTCCAGTGTATAGCTTTACAAAGACATGGAAATGGGTACCAGCGTCAAATGGATATTTACCACCGGGTGCTGTAGCAGGAGGAAAAGATGAATTCGGTGAAGTCATTTACATTGCTAGAGCATTTCATGAGTATGAAGTACCAGCTGGGTATGTCTCACCATCACAGAAATGCTGTATTTATCCATGGGGTTGCACAACTCACCAATCGTCAAATTA